GCAAACGCAGGCGAGAAACGCTCGGCCGAGGTCACCCCTGCGCCATTTTGGCGTCGCAACCAATCCTGTACTGTAGTCTCATCGCCATCGAAATCGCGACCTCGGTCGGCATCCACTTCGCGAGCTTGACGAGGAGGAGTCTCAGATACAGGCAAGCGAGGATCAAACAGCATGATCGAATCCACGAGCATGTACACCACAAAACCCATTACCGAATCACAATTTCGAACAGCGGATGTCACCATCATCCTAAACGTGTCATCGTCACACTCCTCGATCTCCTCAGGCGTGCAAAGAAGCCATTTGGCACGAACCAGCCCCACAACAGAACCATCTTGGCAATGCTGAAATGGAACACCTGCAACAGCTTCAGACCAGCGCCCCACGGAGGCAGACACCACCACCACTATCGACTCCGCCCCCTCGTTCGCAGCCTGGGCTCTGCCTGGTCTACGCGCGGGCCTGCCGCCGTCTCGCCTAACAAGCGCGGGTCCAGAACCGACGAAATCATCGTCTGAAACGCCGCCTCCAGCAACGATGGGCGCTGGAGCCCTGTCCGCAACGCCACCGACGACAGAGTCAGAATCGGACCCGAACATGCATAATAGAAAGATCACACGTGCACGAAGATGTAAGAGGCCCATTCTAGAATGCTTGATCTCATATGGCACATAAGCTGAACCGAACGTAAGAGGAGGACAAGCAGCAAAATGATTCGCAAATGTCGCTACCCCCTCGCGCGCCCAAACAGGTCTAGCAGAAGTGCGGACCTTCGCGTGTGATCCTCAAACCCGTCTGGAACAGAGGAGGGTCCGACGTTCAAAAGAAGAAACTGTTTGGAGCCCATCTCAAAACCAGGGGGCCCCCTCATCACCTTGTCAACGCACCACCTTTCATGCGCGCTTTCGGGCACCGACGCCACTGGCAGATCCAGTCACTCTACTCCCTCATGCTCCCCGCACACGTGGAGATCAGGAGGAAAAGAGAATGGGGTGACACTCGGAGGCGGAGGGGGAGGAATCGGGGAGGAGGCCGATGAAAATAAAGAAGCTCTGAAGGACGGGGGTCAGAATTATGATAACCCCACCAGTCACAAACGGGCGGCGGGACACTGGGAAGCCAGATGATCGAAGCCCCGATGACGGTCCCCCCCCAAAAAAAAACAAACCCAAGGTGAGGACGAGCGAAGCGCGATGATGGACAAGGACATTGCTCAGCTAAGCGTTCACTGTCAGAACTCACAGATGGAGCGCGACTCTCTTACCTCTAGTTTCATACACTGGTTTATGACACGGATGGTGGGCCGTCACGCGACTCAATTAGGCGTGCACCCCCGTGCGTCATCCCTGTCAATGGCGCAATGCAAACATGAGCGGGGCGCCCACGGATTGGTCCAAGGTTTGCCGCGACGTGCGCTCTGAAAATGGTATTTGTCAGAATCATTGTCTTGTTGTTTACGTATTACTGAACAACATGTTTGTTTCCATTTGGAGACACTTGAAGTGATACCTTCTAGAATTGTGTTTTTTTGAAATCAGGGGGTAGACGATTCCGCCCTGGGCCCATGGGACCACCAGAAAACCACTAGGAGACCACTAGGGGGCCACTAGAACGTCTACCTTAGGGGGCGCGCTTCCGCGAAAGCCATGTCTTACCATCTGGATAGGGGTCTTTAGAGGGGCGGACAATAAATACAAACATACAAAGTTTTGGCGCTCCGCGCGGATTTCTTGGATCCGCGCCAGATCCCCCTCCCTGGCGCGCGAAGCGCGCCACGGGCGGCGCTGGAGGCGCCCGCGGGGGGCCCCAGCGCGGATCCAGGACAAATCCGCGTGCGGCGCCTGCTTATGGCGTTTGTTCTTCTTCTGATCCTGGCCCCCCCCAAAAAAAAACCGGAACGGTGACAGACCGCGCGACGACCTCCAAATCCCGAGAGATCCCACCCGCGCCGTCCGCCACCGCACGGATTCGGGGCCTCGCGTGCCCCAGTCGCCCAGGACGTGCCCCGAGAACGGCGCACGTCCCAGAAACCGTGCGGCCACCGCGACTCCCCACCGACTCCCGCCACGGTGCGGTCGCCGCACCGTTCTGGGACTTCCGAGGGCCGCGAACCCCATGGCCCACGCACTGAACGAATCGGTCGGAGTGGCTGGAAGTTGGCCTGGGTTTTTTTTTCACTGTCCCGCGACCAGGTAAGGGCCCCCGTGGGCCGAAGATAGAGAAAAGCCTCCCGTCGTGATTCTTTCACGGCGCGAGGAGGTCTGGCCCCGTGGCTTCCAAGACCGTCGCCACTTTCTCGGCCCTGCATCTTACGCCCTCCGCGAAACTCTCCGGCACGCCTGGGCGCCTGCCCCGACGGCAGGGGAGCGGTGCCGCACCTTCTTCCGCTGCTCCATGGCATGCCGCTGGAGTTGCGGATGCCATGACAATAGACACCCTAACACTCCCATGAATGAGTTAAACTATGTGCATAACATGTAGGACAGATGTTCTAAACATGTCTAAACATTTTTCTACGTTGAAGACATGCTTAAGACATATTTTAGACATCTGAAATTGATTCGGCAACATGCTTCCTATCCGTTGACATCGTCCACGACGCTGGAACTCCCGCGCATCCGCCAGAGCTCTAACCTCCAGGGCAGCCCCACAGCGCAGCCCCCCTCGCCTCGGCCACTGCGGCCGCCTGGGGCGAAGACACCCCCGAGCGGTGTCAATCCGCGAGGGATCTCGTGGGCTACCGCGGCAGCCGCGGGAGCTGCTGTGGGCGGAGGGAGCTTCCCCGTGGTGGCGCGCCTCGCTTGCAGCGCCAGCACCGCCGGCGCTCGTCGCAGGTCATGCCCACACCGCGAAACATCACGACCACGCCGTCGCCGTCGCCGTCGCCGTCGCCGTCGTCGTCGTCGTCGTCGTCGTCGTCGTCGTCGCCGTCGTCGTCGTCGCCGTCGTCGTCGTCGTCGTCGTCGTCGTCGTCGTCGTCGTCGTCGTCGTCGTCGTCGTCGTCGTCGTCGTCGTCGTCGTCGTCGTCGTCGTCGTCCTCGACGTGGCCGAGCAGGCGCTGCAGTGCCACCCTTCCCCGTGGGGCTGCCGAGGGCCTCCGGTGGCTGCGCGCCGCCGCGCGCGCCGCGGGCGCCGAGGCAGCGGAGCAAACCCTCCACGCTCTCTGCCAGCTCTGGCGCCGCGCGATCGTCGTCCATGAGGAGGAGGAGGAAGAAAAAGAGGAGGAGGAGGAGAAGGAGGAGGAGGAGGAGGAGGAGGAGGAGGAGGAGGAGGAGGTGGCATGAGAGAGGCAAAAGGTGATGAAGGAGAGGAGGATGAGGAGGAGGATAAGGAGAGGAGGAGGAGGAGAGAGGAGGAAGGAAAGAGGAATGAAGGAGGATAAGGAGAGATAGTGAGAGAGGAGGAGGAGTAGGGAGGAGGGCGCAGGAAAGAAGAGGAAAAAGAGAGGAGGAGGAGCAGGAGGAGAATGCTCGGAAGGGAGGGGAGGAGGGGAGGAAGGAGGAGGAGTAAGAGGAGGAGGAGGAGAGAGGGGAAGGGAGGAGGAGGAGGAGAAGAAGGGAGGAGGAGCGGTCGGCGGCCAGAGCCGCACGCCACCACTCGAGCTCCCGCCCGCTGCGGCTTGGCTGGGCGAGGCCCCGCGGGGCTCGCCCGCCGCCCCGCCCAGAGCCTCCGCTCGGCTGTCGGCAGCGGCCGCCCGCGGGGCCACAAGGTTCCTCCACCCTCCTCCTCCTCCTCTTCCTCCACCCTCCTCTCCACCTCCTCCTCCTCCTCCTCTCCTCCTCTCCTCCTCTTCCCCCTCCTCCCCCCCATCCGTCTCCTCCTCCTCCTCCTCCTCCTCGTCCTCCTCCTCCTCCTCCTCCTCCGCCTCCCTCATCCCCCTCCTCTCCTTCTCCTCCTCCTCCTCCTCCTCCTCCTCCTCCTCCTCCTCTTCCTCCTTCTCCCCTCCCGCCCCTCTCCCGCGCACTCCCTGCCCGCGGGGCCGCAAGGTCCTGGCCACAGGTGGGGGCGCGCGCTCCCCGCCCCGCCCCGCTCCCGGCTCCGCCCTGCGCCGCCCTCCCCTCCCCCAGATCTCCGATGCGGTGCAGTCGGGCCCAGGCCAGCAGAGCCTCCCTCAAGAACTCGGGAGTGGCCAAGAGGGGGGTGTCCAAGAGGGGGGGGTGCAAATCATGACCGGCGGCATGTGCGCGGCCCCGCGGGGGGGCCAAGGACGTAACGAAATAAGAAGAGGCGCCGTGAAATCTGGGGAAACATCATGCCCGCCGCCATGACATCCAACCCCCCTAGTCATCGCCCCCCTCTTTGCCGCCCCCGAAGAACGTGAGGCCCGCCTCCCGGCCAAAGCACACCGGGCATCCCAGGGCAGCCTCCCCCGGGTGCACAGGAGCACCCAACGAGCACGAGGAACACCGAGGTGCTCGTGCACAACGAGCCCTGCTTGGCGGATTGCAGAAGGATGCCGTTCGCTGCATCGCTGGAAAGGACGCTCAAACCACCCAGGCATGTATCGTGCCCGGCGCCCCTCCTCCTCCTCCTCCTCCTCCTCCTCCTCCTCCTCCTCCTCCTCCTCCTCCTCCTCCTCCTCTCCTCCTCCTCTCTCCTCCTCCTCCTTCCTTCCCTCCTCCCTCCTCCTCCCTTCCTCCTCCCACCTCCTCCTCTTCCTCCTCCTCCTCCTCCTCCTCTTCCTCTCCCTCCTCCTCCTCCCTTCTCCTCCTCCTCCTCCCCCTCCCCTCCTCTCCTCTCCTCCTCCTCCTCCTCCTCCTCCGCCTCCTCCTCTTCCTCCTCCTCCTCCTCTTCCTCCTCCTCCTCCTCTCCTCCTCCTCCTCCTCCTCCTCCTCCTCCTCCCCCTCCTCCTCTTTCCTCCTCCTCCTCCTCCTCCTCCTCCTCCTCCTCCCTCCTCCTCCTCCTCTCCTCCCCCTCCCTGCACTCCCTGCCCACCCTCCTCTCCCCTGCCCTGCGCACGAGGAACCTCCCAGGGTACCCTCCACGAGCCGACCTCGATCTCATGCCTCGGTCCGACGGTCTACTTTCCACTTGGCCTCCACGCCTCTCGACCGCCACCCCCTCGTGGAGAGCGGCCTTCCATCCCGGACCGTCCCCTGACGGCCGCCCAGGCGGACCTACCATTACCAGCCTGGAACATATCCCTATGCCTATGTTGGGCATCGCCTCATCACGATGGCGACCTCAGGGATTTCCTCGGCTTCTGAGGGTGCATCCCTAAGATTGTCGTCGCCTTTTGGCGTGTCAATCTGAGGGATAGGGATAAGTTCGAGGCTGGTGATACCAGGGGCCGAGACTCGAGGGAAGACGCCGATCCCGAAACAGGCATGAGGTCGGGCATGTCCTCCCACCGGCGGGGCCTGGGAGGCAGAAGCATACACTAGTCAGCGACGCACCAGAGACAGTCAGAAGAGCACGAGCCGTCGTCCCCAGACTATGTGTTCTCTATTCCTCCTCCTCCTCCTCCTCCTCCTCCTCCTCCTCCTCTTGAACCTTCCTCCTCCTCCTCCTCCTCCTCCTCCTCCTCCTCCTCCTACTCTTCCTCCTCCTCCTCCTCCTCCTCCTCCTCCTCCTCCTCTTGAACCTTCCTCCCGTCGAGGGGGACATGCCCGCCTTCAAACAAGCACGGCGTCGGAAGGCTGGGCTCCCGCACCCCGGGGCACTAACGGCCGCCTCAGCTTCGCCCGCCCGTCGTAGTCCAGCAGCAGGATGCGGTCGGACCCGACGCCTCGGCTGCGATCGATGGGTCGACGGCTGGGCTGGTCGATCCCGCCGCCACCGCAGCGAAGAACGGGAGCTCAAGCGGGGTGGCAGGGCACCCCCGTGAGAGATCGGGGGCACTGGGGGGCAGCATCTCCCCTGGGGGCTAGCGACGTCTGTCCCGCCGACCCTCCCCCTCACGCCCAGAGACTCCTCAAACACGACTCCACGACGTCACGAAGCCGTCCGAGGACAGCCCGAATGTCCACCTTAAAGACGGCCCTGATACTGTTCAAACCGCCCCAAACATACCCGAATGGACGCGAAGGTGGCTCCAGGAGTCCCCATGAGGGCCCCAAGGCGCCAAAGACACCCAGGATTTGCTCGAAAAGGTCCACAAGCGTACCAGAGAAGGCCACCATACAAGCCCAAAGGTCGGGCTACAAGCCTGTTCAGGCATACTCCCAGCACGCTCACTGTTTGGCTGATTTGTGTGCTAGTTCCCAAGGAAGCTACGATGTGACCCCAAGGATGACGCCCCAACCCCAACATAGTCCCGAAGTGTACGGGCACACGCGCGTCGATGCCATAGCCGTTCCTTGCACGGACCTCGTTCAATCTTCCTCCTCTTATCCTCCTGGAACTCCTTCTTCTTGTTTTATAGTTCCCCTATTCCTCATCTTCCTCCACCCTATCATATCGGTCCTGGGACGCACCAGCAACTCCAGACATCGTGGCGACTCCCCTCTGTTGGGGTCAGCGGAATTATATCAGCATCCTGAAGATCAGCGGAATGGCATAAGCCTGCTGAAGAGGTCCAAGCCCAGTTGAGGGAATCGCAGGATCCCCCTTTCCAGTTGTGCAACGGTCGGGCCCCAATACACGCATCTGTGTACCGAGGCGCGCGCCAAGCGCACTTCTGGCAATGCCCAAAGTTCAATGCCCGTACACGGCACATGGCCAATTCTGGAGATCTTGGCTGCACCGTCGTTACCATTTGCCTCAACCGTGCAGCCTCATCCTCATGCCCCAAGCTGGGTAATTCGCTGAATGCCTGCGATAATTAGACAACCACATGGGGACCTCAGGTCAAGTTTCTGAAACGCAGGCTGGGGTTCAAAGTTCGAGGGATGCCTGCAGCCAGGTGAACCCTGGCGGGGTTGTCCGATACCCCAGCGTCAAGTGGACACGCAGGGGTTAATAGGGGTTAGGCTCGCACCTGGTCGCAGAACAATGCAGCTGAACGCGTGCTCTAATTCGTTGTTCTACGGGGGCGGTGCTTCCACGCCTCGCGCTGTGGCGAGTGAAGCCAAACAGCGTCACAAAGCGAGGCAGCGCGGTTGCTCTCTCTCTCTTGGGGGGTCTGCTTGTCTGTCGGCTTCTGCAAACCTTCCTCTGGCACCGCCGCCCTTGTCTTACGTCCGCCAGCTTCCGCAGGCCCTCTGCTGACCTCCGCCGAGGGCGAGAAGTCGACCCCCGTTCGGGCTCTCCAGGGCGAGGCCCTTTCCCTGCCTCGCCACACATGCATAGCCTGAGGCACGCCAACAAACACTGCCACTCGTGCCAAGGGCCTGGACGTCGTGATGCTTTCACAACGTGGACCCCGGAGGTATCGACCCCTTCCCCAGGACATCCGCCTTGTTTGTCTCAGCCATGCAATCATCGTGCTACCGCAAGGGGCGCCGAATAGAAGGAACGCCTGGTCCCTTCTGGCCACGGCTGGCTAGCCTTGGCCACGAATAGGTCCCCCGACGTAGCTCCAATGAGCGGCCCGAAAACCAGAGCCTCTCCTGAGTCCAGAGTGGCCCTTACTTCAGCGCCTCGACTATAGATACTCTGTGATGATGATAATTCCTCGACGCGAAGGTAGAGGACGAGAAGCCATCAAACCTTGAAACTGTCGGAGATCCGCGCGGACCTCTTGGGCTGGCGCTGGAACGCCTGGCCTGGCGCGCGGAGCGCGCCAGGGGCGGCGCCGGAGGCGCCGCCCAGGGGGGCCAAGCGCCGAGCTGAGGAATCCGCGCGGAGCTCTGTCAGTTTATGCTTATGCAGCTTCTGTTATTCGTTTATGTTTATGTTTACGTTTCGGGGATGGACAAAACCCCCTTTTAGCAAAACGTGGTTCAGTGGAAACGCCCTCCGGCCCACACCTCGCGAGCGCAAGCCTGGAAAATGACGGCCGCGGCGCCCTCTCGAGAACCGAAAGCGGGCAATTCTCTGGTCGACGTGGCAGGGGGGGGGTATCTGTCCACCCCCGGATGTTCATGCTTATGCAGCTGTTTTGATTCGAGAGGGGGGCTCCGGGCACGCGAGCCGCTCCTCCTCCTCCTCCTCCTCCTCCTCCTCCTCCTCCTCGTCCTCTTCCTCCTCCTCCTCCTGCTCCTCCTCCTCCTCCTCCTCCTCCTCCTCCTCCTCCTCCTCCTCCTCCTCCCTCCTCCTCCTCTTCCTCCTCCTTCCTCCTCCTCCTCCTCCTCCTCCTCCTCCTCCAACCACCGCCATGCCGGCCTCCCGCAGCAGTGCTGCCCCACGGCCGCGGCCCGAGCGCGCGGCCCTGGCGCAGCAGGTGCGCCCTCAGGAGGTGGGCGTCCAGGGCGTACGACGCGGCGGAGTCTCCGGCGCAGGGCGGAGGAGGAGGAGGAGGAGGAGGAGGAGGAGGAGGAGGAGGAGGAGGAGGGCGGGCGGGGGGGTGGGGGTGGGTTCATATCGGGCATGCCCTCCTACGGGCGGATCTGGGACGAGAAATCAGGAGCACCCAGCAAACTAATCAAGCACAGTGAACGAAAATACTGGAGCAATCGTCCCCTGACTATTTCCTGGACTATTCTAAAATACTTTTCCTCATGGGGGGGGGACATGCCCGACTTACGGGTAGTGGCAGGGAGCATCGTGATGCGGAATTCGCCAAGCTTGCATCTTCTCACGCGCCGATGTACGTATGCCATAGTCTCGGGCCTTCTGCGCGTGGCGCTCACAGGCCCCGAGGCCGGTGGCAAGGGCCACCACTCGGAGGAGTGCTCCAATCCATGTAAAAGAAAGGGATCGAATGGAAGGAACGGTAGACAGCGACGTTGCCAAGATTTGGGTGTGGGTCATCTCACAGGATCGCCCAAGATGGACAAGCAATCAGTGCATAGATGGGTACCCAAGCACGGGCCATACAATCAATCGATACAGAAGTCAACGGGCCCCATTCACACGCCTACCAAAAACCCGAACACCTGTAATCATACGAAACAGAAACTAACCAACCACCCACAGAAGCAGAAACGCACGCATAAACAGAAACTGTTGGAGCTCCGCGCGGATTTCATTGATCTGCGCTGGGCCCCCCTCCCTGGCGCGCGGAGAGCGCCAAGGGCGGCGCCGGAGGCGTCGCTCATGGGGGTCCTGAACCTGGGTGGCGCCAGAAGGCGTGACGCAAGATTTTTATACATACGGTCTGCCTCCGTAGAGGCCGTCTGCGGGGCCCCGGGACCGTGACGGGTGATCGACGCGGGATGAAAAGCCGGCTCTGGGGAGGCGGTCGAGACCTCTGGGGGGGGGGGGGGTGCCACGTCATGGAGACAGCGCGACGTCGGGTGTGCGGGGAGGCACCTCGGAAGGGGCAGTGGGGGAAACAGGGTGGAGTGAGGAAGCAAAGGGAGAGGGGGAGAGAGAGAAGGGGTGGAAGGGGGGAGAAGGGGCGAAATGGGGACAACGGGGGGAGCGAGGAAGTGAAGGGAGAGAGAAGGGGGGAGGAGAAGGGGCGAAGGGTGAGAGGTGGATGGGGCTAGATAGGGCCAGGGCAGGGGAGAGGTGCATATGGGAGGGGAGGCGGGAGGGAGACGCGGGCGGGCCGGGCAGCGCAGACCTCCGCCCTCCTGGCCGTCCTCCTCGCCCTCCTCCTCCTCCTCCTCCTCCTCCTCCTCCTCGCCTCCTCCTCCCCTCGCCTCCTCCTCCTCCTCCTCCTCCTCCTCTTCCTCCTTGTCCTCCTCCCCCTGCCTCCTCCTCCTCCTCCTCCTCCTCCTCGCCCACCCCCCTTGCCCTCCTCCTTGCCCCCTCGCCTCTTCTCGCCCCTCCCTGCACCCTCCTTTCCCTCCTCCTCGCCCTCCTCCTCGTCCTCCTTGCCCGCCGCCTCTCCGGAGGAGCCGCTCGCGAGTGGAGCCAGAGGGCTCTCGGCAGGCGCCCTCCGAAGGCGGAGGGGGGAGAGGGGAGGGTTCTATCAGGTCGTGCATGTCCTCCTCCAGGCGGATTCTGGACGAGAAAAAGCAAGAGTCAAACAAAATATCAGAAATCGTCAAAAACAATGATCGACACATCGTCCCCAGACTATTTTTCTAAACTATTTTTGTATCTTCCTCCTGTGGAGGGACATGCCCGCCTTGAACCTCCCCTGGTGGGGTCCACCCTGGCTGGTTTTGCGAGCCGCGCTGGGCCGTGGCGGCGAAAACCTCCAGGAGCTCGCAAGCCGGCGACTCCTGAGACGGCGACGTCGTCGTCGACCTCGAAGGCTGGCCCTCCCTCGAGTCTCGAACCCCACCAGGGCTGGACCTAAACACTGTGTTTCGTTTTGTTTTCGTCTTGCTCTCCCTGTACCTCCCTGCCAAAACGAAGCCTCCCTCCTCCTTCCTCCTCTTCCCTCCTCCTCCTCCTCCTCCTCCTCCTCCTCCTCCTCCTCCTCCTCCTCCTCCTCCTACTCCTCCCGCCGCCGCTGCCAGAGCCACGACGGGCACCTCTGCGCGCGCGAGGGGGAGGTGGGGGGGAGAAGGGAGCGCGCGGCCCAGCAAACGAAAAGACAAACCACACCTGAGGTCCAGCAAAGCAGCGTTCAGGTCCAGCCCTGGACCCCACCGCAGGACACCTCCAAGGCGACGGCACCGAGACGCCGACGGCGTCCGCGCCGACGGCAGGTGCCTCGGTGACCCCCGAGCGGGCCTCGCCCGCCGCCCCGGGCCTCGAGGGAGGGGAGCGACAATTGCCACGAGCGGCGGACATGCTCACATCCACGCCCTCGCGGCCTGGACTCTGGGGCGCGATCGCGTAACTTCGTGGCCGCACGGCTACGTTTCCGAAAAAATTGGGGCGCCTGCGAACAAAAACGCGCGGCTTCGCGGCCCGGCGGCCCGGAGACGGATGCGCTCTCCGCCCACGGAGGGGGAGCTGACTCATGGGGTGGAACATGTGGTCTGGCAGTCACCGCCGAGACGATGACCAAGGAACGGTCCACCAAAGAAGCCCGGGCCCACCTTCTGGCAGGCAGGACCTCGCGCAACCGCTGGGCCCGCCATCCACGCACATCGCTGGGGATCCCGCGGGGGACCGAGAAACTGCGCCAGCCTGCTGGAGGCGTCTGCAGAGCACGCCGGGCCAGGGCCAGGAAAGGATGGCCTCTCCATGCATGGCGATGCGGCGCTGCCAGTTCGCCCTCGCTCCCGCTGCGCCCCCCCTCCCGTGCCCCTGCGGCACATCGGCACCCAACGACGCTCTCTCTCGACCTGTGCGGGCCCCCCCCCTCCCCGGCACTGCCCGGGGTCGCCGGCTCCCGCGCGTGCGCGCCCCGTGTGTGGACGTCGTTCGCCCAGTGGCGCAGGGAGGGGGGGGCCGTGGACCTGGAGTCGGCGACGAGACTTCGCCGACACATCGGCGCGATACGCCCCGACAGCCAAGCCGCACGCTCCCGGACAGCGTGGGGTGCCCGAGCCCCGAGCGGCGCTGCATCGGCGACCGCGGGTCGACGTGCCCACCCTGTGCCAAGCTTGAACCACCCCTTCGCCGCCCCTGGCATGCCAGCTCCCCAGACTCCTCCTCCTCCTCCTCCACCTCCTCCTCCTCCTCCTCCTCCTCCTCCCTCCTCCTCCACCTCCCTCCTCTTCCTCCTCCCTCTTCCTCCTCCTCCTCCTCCCTCCTCCTCCTGCTCCTGCTCCTGCTCCTTCTCCTCCTCCTCTTCCTCCTCCTCCTCCTCCTCCTCCTCCTCCTCCTGCTCCCGATGTCACGATTTCCTTCGCAACGCGGACTCCGAGAGGTCTGGACCCCTTCCCCTTCCCCAGGACAGCCTTTCCATCCCGAGGTCGATCTCTGACGGCCCCGACCCCCAAAGCAGCTTCTCCAGCTGCCGACCTTGGCGAGCGACACGGGCCGCCTCCAGGCTCTCTCGAGCCTGCGGATGCTCGAACACCGAGCGACAACACATCGGCCTTGATCCTCGACCCTCGATCCTCGACCGACCCTCGACCCTCGACCCTCGACCCTCGACCCTCGACCCTCGACCCTCGACCCTCGACCCCCGACCCTCGCTCCTCGCTTCTCGCTCCTCGCTCTTCGACCCTCGGCCCCCGACCCTCGACCCTCGACCCTCGGTCCTCGACCCCCGACCCCCGATCCTCGGGCCTCGACCCTCGAGATCCTCGACCCTCGAGATCCTCGACCCTCGAGATCCTCGACCCTCCATCTTCCGTCCTCCATCCTCGATCTTCGGTCCCCCATCCTCGACCATCGACCCTCCGCCTCGAGGTCCTCGACCCTCGGGCAGGATCTGCGCAGACCCCTCCGAGAAGCTCCAGCCCCGGCTCGCCAGGGCGTCCAGATGCGCCCGGCCGCGGCGACGGGCACCGCTGGAGACGCCTCCCCCCTGCCCAAAAAAACACACCTGAAGCGGCCATGATGCCACCGTCCTCGACCCTCGACCCTCGAGACCCTCGACCCTCGACCTTCGAGACCCTCGACCCTCGACCCTCGACCCTCCGACCCTCGACCCTCGACCCTCGAGATCCTCGACCCTCGACCCTCGAGACCCTCGACCCTCGATTCTTGGTCCTCGACCCTGGGGATCCTCGACCCTCGACCCTCGATTCTCGACCCTCCGACCCTCGACCCTCGACTTTCCGCCTCGAGGTGTATCCGTGCCGGCGCCGCCCGCCCTGTCACGTGCGAGCGCGCGCGCCCCGCCTCCGTCGCCGGCGTCGTCCTCGACGTCGGGCTCCCCTGGCTGCAGGCCACGGGGGAGGAGGAGGAGGAGGAGGAGGAGGAGGAGGAGGAGGAGGAGGAGGAGGAGGAGGAAGGAGGAGGAGGAGGAGGAGGAGGAGGAGGGAAAATAGGAGGAGGAGAGGAGGAGGAGGAGGAGGAGGAGGAGAGGAGGAGGAGGAGGAGGAGGAGGAGGAGGAGGAGGAGGAGGAGGAGGAGGAGGAGGAGGAGGAAGAGGAGAAGAGGAGGAGGGAGGAAGAAGAGGAGAAGGAGGAGGAGGAGAGAAGAGGGGGAAGGAAGAAGAAGAGGCGGAGGATGATGAGGAGGAGGAGAAAGGAGGACCTGGTTTTGCTGCGATCGTTGCTCAAAAGCCCAGCCGCAAGGCCGAACGCTTGGATCCGTGCCCGCGCCTCCGTCTGCGCGCCCCCGCCTCCTGGCCCGCTGGCCCAGCCGTGCATCGTGTGCTTCCGCTCGAGCAGAGGCGCCCGGGGAGTGGCCCGCCTCAGGCCAAGAGCGGCAAGGCTACAGTGGAGGCCAGTCCACAAGAAACCTTCCACGAGAAACCCAACCCTGAGGCCCCAGGACGTCCGTGGATCTGCGGTGTTGGGAACGTCACGATTTTTTCCATGGCGAAACCATCGAAACCCAAGAAGCCCAGGGCACCCCGGAGACAAGCAGGATGTTCCGTGGCATATGTCTCCACTGTATCCCTCGCGAGTATATGTACGCGCCGGAATGGGGTGCTGGGAAAATGCGACTGTCGCTGATTAGAGAGAGCAGCGTGCTGGAACGCCTCGATCAAACATCATATCGTGCGACCGTCGCCGATTGGCACTGCCAAGGGCAGGCGCGCCCAGGGGGAGGAGGAGGAGGAGGAGGAGGGAGGAGGAGGAGGAGGAGGAGGAGGAGGAGGAGGAGGAGGAGGAGGAGGAGGAGGAGGAGGAGGAGAGGAGGAGAGAAGAGGAGGAGGAGGAGGAGGAGGAGGAGGAGGAGGAGGAGGAGGAGAGAGGAGGAGGAGGAGGAGGAGGAGGAGGAGGAGGAGAGAGGAGGAGGAGGATGAGGGAGGAGGAGGAGGATGAGGAGGAGGAGGAACCTGCCGCAGGTGCCCCTTGCCAGCCTTCTTCTTGGGCGGCCCACGCTTCGAGCTCAGGGCCTCTCGGGCTGACAGCCCAATGAGCAGCCGCCGCGCACGCGCGCGCCGGGGCCCCTCGCCGCCCCAGCGAGACTGGCCATCGCTCGGACGTCCATTTCCCTGTGTTCGCCGCCGCGCGCGGGGCCCGTTCCTGGGGTGCCGCCTGGCCCGAGGGCTTGGGGGTGAGTGCGGGTGTCCAGCACCCCGCGCTGCGGGGTGCTGGGTGCTGGCACTCACGCGGCGTCGGGTCTCCTCATAGCCTGGGGCCGCGCCTGTGCACGGCAGCGAGGCGAGACGGCGTGACCGTTCGCCTTGCCTCTTGCCCCCCCCTCCTCAAAAGAAAAGCAACACTGCACAACCCCAACATTTCGGAGGCCCACCCCTCCTCAAAAGAGAAAGAGCACGGCACAACCCCAGCATTTCGGAGGCCAGCCCCCCTCAGAAGAGGAAAACAAAACGCTGCACAACCCCAACCAACCTACAAGAGAAACAGCCCGCTCTGCTTTGCACTTGGCACGTCGCTGGGCCCGCCTGCCCGCTCCGCGCGCCAGGGGAGGGGGGGGGGGCCAGCGCCAACCCGGGAAAGCCGCGCGGACCTCCGCCAGCTGTTTTTTCGACGGCTCCGTGCTTCCTCCTCCTCCTCCTCCTCCTCCTGCCCCCCCCATGCCTCCCTCCCTCCTCCTCCGCCCCTGCCCCCACGTTCCCGCCCTCTCTCTCCCGCCCCTCTTCCGCCCTGCCTCCATCCCCCCCCTCCCCCCTCCCCCCTTCGCTCCCTTCTCTCCTTCCGTTCTCCCGTCATTCCTCCCCCCCTTCCCGAGACATTCGACTGAGATGTGTTTGTGTTCACTCTCGCACCGTATGCCCCCTGGAGTGCGGACCCCTCCCCCAGAGACCGGCGATTCGTGCCGATTACTTTGCTGACCGTCCCAAGGCCAGGCGATGGCCTCCAAGCTGCCGAAAACAGGTAAAAACTTCCAGTCGTGCTTTTGCCACGACGCGAGCCCTCCCTCCCTGCGGGTGCGCCCCACCTGATGAGCTGATGAGCAAGTAGCGGAACTTGGGACTGGCGAACTCGTGCCAGGTCACGTGGTCAGCCTCCCCGCCGCGGCATTCGCGGGGCGTGCAGGCTGGAGGGCCCTCTCCTCCTCCTCCTCCTCCTCCTCCTCCTCCTCCTCCTCCTCCTGGTTCTGGTTCTGGTTGAGGCGCACCCAAGTGGGGCGCGTTGGTGCCGAAGCCCCGGGCAAAGGGCAGGCATGAGCAGTCCCGAGTAGGGCGCTGGCAGCGGGGCAAGTGCCCGGCGCGCGTGCCCCTTCCCAGGGGGCCGGGTGTCGCTTCATGCGAGACAGTTGTAGGGGCCCCCTGGGAGCCGCGCCTGCCACGCCACCAAATGGCGGAGCGCCAGTGCGCGAGCGCGAGTGCGCGTGCTGCCAACTGGCGGCAACGAAACAGGGAACCTCGTCGTCCTCCACCACCCCGCCGCAGCTCCACCACCACCAGCCAGGCGAGGGAAAAGGGGAGAGGGAGGAGGGCGGCGGGAGGAGACGCCCCGGGGGGGGGCAGCCGGGAGGGCGATAGGACGACGGCGACGACAGGAGACGACGAGGGCGACGCCGACGAGAAGCAACGGCGACGACGACGACGACGGCGAGGGCGACGAAGACGAAGGCGACGGCGACGAAGACGACAACGACGGCGACAGCGGCGGCGAACGCAGCGACGACGACGACAGCCAAGGGACACGCAACGCGCATTTCCAGAAGCGAAAAAAGGAAGCGAGTGCCCGGGGCGCGCGCGGCTAGCCCCGGGGCCGGCGGCCGCGCTCGGCGCTCCGGGAGCGGCAGGAGGGGCTCAGGCGGGGGCGGCGGCGGCGGCGGGAGGCAGCGGCCGGGGGCGCCCCCGCAGCCTCAGGGCGACGACGACGACCACGACGACGACGACGACGACGACGACGACGACGGCGACGACGACGACGACGACGACGACGACGACGACGACGACGACGACGACGACGCGACGACGACGACGACGACGACGACGACGACGACGACGACGACGACGACGACAGCAAAGGCGGCGACGGCGGCGGCGGCGGCAGCAGCGGCGGCGGCGGCGACGGCGGCAGCGGCGGCGGAGGCGGCGGAGGCGGCGGCGGCGGCGGCGGCGGGAGGCCCCGGCCGGGGAGGCAGCAGCAGCAGCCGTCGGGGGGGCAGCGGCGGCCAGGCCCGTGGCGGCAGCAGGAGCGTGGAGGGCCAGCGCGGGCGGCGCGCCCAGAGCGCTGGGCGGGGGCGGAGGCGCCGCGGCGGCGTGGGGCCGGGGCTGGTTCCCAACCCAGGGGACGGTCCACGCAAGCACTGCTTCGAGGAGCCGCTCGCGGACCTCCGTGTTGCCGGCGATGGTCAATTTGGCTTGCCGGAGCCAAAAATTGATCACCCCGCCGCCGCCGAGCGGACGGAGCGCCAAGCCGATCCGGGCCCCGTTGGTGCCAAAGAGCCAGAATGCCTGGCGGGAGTCGGTGTAGAGCCCGCGGGCGGCAGCCAACTGAAGGACCTCTTGCTCTGTGAGCGCGCGCCCGTCAGCACGCGCAGGGAGCCCGCGGCGGAAGCGGGCGCTACCGGGGTCAGCGCCGGCGCAGCGCCGCGAGCGCCGCGAAGAGCCGGAAGGCGCGGGAGGCTGCTGGGGCTGGTGCTGCGACGGCGCCGCCGGCAAGGAGACGGACGATGAGGGCGGGCCGCTGGGCCGCCAGGAGCAGGCGGACGAGGGGGGCAGCGGAGGCGAAGGCAGCACGGGCGCCGCTGGCGGGGGGCCAGACGACGGGGGCGGGCAGCACGGCCGCCCGGAACTGGCCGGCGCAGGCGGAAGAGGCTGGGGCGCGGGCATCCCCAGCGACGCAGGCGGCGGGCCAGAGGAGGACGCAGCGGGGCCGCCCAGAGGCGGAGGGGCGGCGGGCGGACTGCGCCACGGGGGAGTGGCCTGCGACGCCGGTGCCACGCCCGGGCTGGCCCCCGCAGATCCGCTCGAGCTGCCGCCCGCTGCGCCCGCAGCCCAGCGCAGACTAGCGGCACGGAGGGCAGCAGCGGCACCCTGTGCAGAGCCCCCGTACACCGCCACCAAGGCCTCGGCGACAAAGGGGTCCAGGTAGTTGGCCCCGAGCAGGAGGGTGTGGACCACCTCTGCAAGGCCCACGGGGCGCGCCAGCCGCCCGAAGAGGGCAGCGGCCGCCAAGGCCGCAGGCGCGGCGTGCCCGGGCGCGGCGGCAGCCAAGGACTGCAGAGCAAAGACGAGATCCGAGGAGGGCACCGCCGATGCTCCCACGAGCTCTTGCACCAGGCCAGCGAAGGGCGGTCCCATGGATGCATGGGCGAGCCAGCCTGCCAAGGTCTCTGCCGGCAGGAGGCCGACCGCGGCCAGGAGCGCCGGCGAGTAGGCCGAGTTGCAGACGCCAGGGTGCGAGGGCAAAGTGCGCGCAGCTGCCGCCGCCAGCAGTGAGCTGAGAGGCCCCTCGCTGCATGCCGCGTCGCCGCTGCAGTGCGGGGCGCCAGGCGAAGCCGGAGGCGCCGGTGACAGAGGCGAGCCAGGCGCCGCCGACGACGACGACGACGACGACGAGCTGGACGAGGGCAGAGCAGCGGCGTTCAGGAAGGCCCCAAAGACCGGCGGCGGCGGCACGGGGACCGCTGCTGGCTCGGCCGGCACACGGCCAGGGGCCATGGCAGACTCGGCGGGGAGACCAGGGAGGCCTGGGACAGTCTCCGCCTCAGGATCCACCTGCGCAGGGGCACCAGTGGGAGGCACGAGGGCCGCACCGGCATCTGGCCCCGCTGGCCCGCTGCTGCTGGGTTGGGTCCCGCCTGTCTGGACACCCGAGAAAGGAACCGAAAGAATGGGAACAATGCCCAACAGCAAAGGCAGACACAAAGACCCACAGCGGCCGCTGTAGGGCAGGCGGCCAGCAAACGCAAAAAAGACAAAGGCCGCGGCGGCGAGGACAGCGAACCCAGCTCAGAGGGAACAGGAACTGCTGTTGGGCATCATGCCCATTCTTTCCGTGCCCATCTCGGGCGTCCAGAGCCTGTGCCCGCCGCAGCAGTGCACGACGGGCTGGAGCACTGCGAGAACGCCTCGAGCAGACGGGCGCGCCCCTTGGCATCAGCTTCGAGCACACGGGCACGCTCTTTGGCCTCAGCCTCCTGCTGGGCCTGGGCAAGATACACGATGCGCTCCAAGTCCGAAAGGCCTGCCCACTCAGCACGGACCAGCCCTTCATATACATGGTTGGCGGCCTGGCCGGCGGCAGGAGCACTCCTCCTCCTCCTCCTCCTCCTCCTCCTCCTCCTCCTCCCTCCTCCCCCTCCTCCTCCTCCCCCTCCTCCTCCTCCTCCTCCTCCTCCCGCCGCTCCCCCCTCCTCTCCTCGCTGCCTCCGCTCCTCCTGCCTTCTCCTCCTCCTCCTTCTCCTCCTCCTCCTCGTGGTTTCTCCTCCTCCTCCTCCTCCTCCTCCTTCCCTCCTCCTCCTCCTCCTCCTCCTCCTCCTCCTCCTCCTCCTCCTCCTCCTCTATCACTATCTCTATATACCCCTTTCCTTGTCCATATCTCTTCCCTGCCGCACTCCCGAAACGTGTCAACAGGGCGGGCTGGGCGTTTCGCCCGATACTTCCCCACCGTTGACGATCTTGAAGTTTGGCATGGGCAGCCGTTTCGCTGATGGAGGGCGGGCCCTCTTTTTCAATCTGTGGCCCTCGCCTTGGCGCCGCGCAAATGTGTCGCAAAGTCTGCGACAGTTTCACTGATGGAGGGCGGGCCGCTTTCAAAATGTGTCTCTCGCCCTCTCACCGCGCGCATTCGCCTGCGAATGCCGCGCGCATTCGCCCGCAACGCATGCAGCAATGTCAAGGATTCGCAAGGCTGACGTTGCAGAAAAGGTATTCTGACGCGGTAAAAGGGTTGTCAGGACGCAGCAGTCACGTTGACCCGCGGTGGAGTCCCCAAAACGGCGTTCTGCCATGATTTCGGATTGCCATGACGCAGCGGCAACGTTGATTCGCAGCGCTGAAGTCTGAGGAATTGCGACTCGGAGCAATTGAAGAGTCCCAGACGGTGTCTTTCAATCGGGCGCTTCCAGCAATATAAACATAATGTTGTAATCAGGGGCCTGCAGAAAACCAGATTGGAAGAGAGGGTCTAGTGCGATATAGTTGACGTTTCTTGGGTGTACACTGGTCCTCCTCCCCCTCTTCCGTCTCCTCCTCCTCCTCCTCCTCCTCCTCCTTCTCCCCCTCCTCCTCCTCCTCCTCCTCCTCCTCCTCCTCCTCCCTCCTCCTCGTGTTCCTCCTCCTCTCCCTCCTCCTCCCCCTCGTCCTCCCCCTCCTCCTCCCCATGCCCCCTTTGCGAAAGACGAGCGGCGCGGACCTTTGCGAAAGACGAGCGGCGCGGAAAGCGCCTGCCCGCCCTTCGGAAGCCCCCCGGCGCCAAGGCCTCAGGGGGGCAGAGGCCGCCAGCCCCTCCTCCCCCCCCGCGCGGCAGGGGCCCCGCCTCCACCGCGCGCCTCATCGTGTGGCCGTCCACGGACACCTGCAGCGTCAGGGTGAGCCTGCCTGGCGGAAGAGTGGAGGGAGGAGGAGGAGGAGGAGGAGGAGGAGGAGGAGGAGGAGGAGGAGGAGGAGGAGGAGGGCAGGGGCAGGAGGAGGAGGAGGAGGAGGAGGAGGGAGAAGGAGGAGGAGGAGGAGGGAGGAGCAACCACGATGATGATGAGGAGGAGGAGGAGGAGGAGGAGGAGGAGAGGAGGAGGAGGAGGAGGAGAGGAGGAGGAGGCGGAGGAGGAGGAGGGGAGGAGGAGGAGGAGGAGGAGGAGGAGGAGGAGGAGGAGGAGGAGGAGGAGGAGGAGGAGGAGGAGGAGGGGAGGAGGATGAGAAGGAGGAGAGGAGGAGGAGGAGGAGGAGGAGGAGGAGGAGGAGGAGGAGGAGGAGAGGAGGAGGGGATGAGGAGGAGGAGGAGGAGGAGGAGGAGGAGGAGGAGGAGGAGGAGGAGGAGGAGGAGGAGGAGGAGGAGGAGGAGGAGGAGGAGGAGGAGGAGGAGGACGCGCATGAGGAGATAGCGGGCAGCCACATTGATTTGTACAGCGAAGCAAGAACCAGCCCAAGGTGGCGCATGCTCAACCACCTACGCGACCTGATGCGGTATTATGCGTTACCAGGCGCAGCGTCAGTTCCCCGAAGCTCGAGGGCGACTTGCTTCGCTTCCTGGGTGTCGGGCTTGACACTGGTGTTCATTATTTTGTCCGCTCGGACTGCACTGTACACCTCATGCTTCGTTGAAGTTTGTCCGCCTCTTGTAGCATGATCTGGTGGTCGTCCGGGCACTCCCCTCTCCATCCGCTCACCTTCCCTCCCAATCCTTCGTCGCACCCTTCGTCGTACTCCCCCTCCCCTCCCCGTCCTCCCCCTCCTTCGGCGTACTCCTCCACCCCCGATCCTCCCTTCCTCCTCCCCTCCTTCGTCGTGCTCCTCCTCCCTCCCACCCTCGCCCCCTCCCCGAGCGGCCGAACACACACACACACACAGTCACACACAGTCACATCACATACATATTCACATTCACATTCACACCAACAGACACACACCATACCACACCACACCACACCACACCGCACCGCACCGCACCGCACCACACCGCACCACACACCACACCACACCACAGCACAGCACAGCAAAGCACAGCACAGCACAGCACAGCACAACAGAACACAACACACACACGCGCGCACACACGCCCATACGCCCACACGCACACACGCACACACGCACACACGCACACACGCACACACGCACACACGCACACACGCACACACGCACACACACGCACACACATACACACGCACACACACGCACACACATACACACAAACACACACACACACACACTCACACACACACACACACTCACGCACTCACACCGCTGGCCAGCCCAGGTAGTCAACGGTCGGTTCGCGGCGCGCGAGGAGGGAAGTGAGAAGGCGAAGGCCTTCTCAGACAGAAGGCCTCCTCCTCCTCCTCCTCCTCCTGCTCCCCCCGCCTCGCAGCGAGCTGCGGGACTTCTCAGAAGCCCTCGCGCCTTCTGCAACGTTCTTTGTCTGTCTTTTTTGGGAAGGCTTCGATCACTGCTCATGGAGGCGGGGGGACCGCCGAGCCTTCTGAGAAGGCCTTCTCCTTCTCGCTCCCCCCCCTCGCTCGCCGCCGAGTCGGGAACTCTCGCTCCGCCTGCCGCGGCGACGGCGCCTGCGACACGCTCATTACACGCCCCGTGAGCTGATGGCGTGCCTCTTCGCT